AGGATTTATTTCGTTTTTAACCATGAATCTTGATTTGCAAAATAAATTTAACGATTGTTTTGAGCATAATTAATTTCATAAAAGGTATAACATTAGTAATTAGACACTTGGCACGGAATGGTACCAATTGTATAAACTAATGACGCTAAATGTATTACACAAGAGGTCACATAAGAATCAATAAGTTATCAATAGTGAAGGCAACTGTATATGGAATGATAAGATATACTAGAGTTCAAGCGTTTACACTTTGTAACAGTTTTTCTTCAGAATAGACTGATATATATTTCTCGTGATATATTTCACCGCAAGTAATTTCTTCAAAATATAAGTTTGGTGTGTTTTATTTAGCTTAAACAATTATTTGAATTACAGTGGAATTCTAATTTATACATTTGTATCGTTATAAATTTTAGGTTTTTAAAAATAATGGTATGCACACTCAACGTAAAGTTGCATCTACTTTCAAAATGCTCAATTTATTATTGTAAGCGATGAAATATTCAAACGCGAATCGGAAAAAGTGTCAAAATTTAGAAATATTTACTGCGATGACTGTAGCTTCAAGTCATAATAAAAATTTATTTTACGCTATTGCTTTTATTGAATTTTTTTAAATCTTCACTGCGGTTGATAGCTATACTTCTTGTGTTTAATTAAATGTTATTAATACAAATCTGTTTTTTAAACAGCATATGAATATTTAATATGATATTGAATGGAAAATGAGATATATTAAACTATGTATTAAAACAAGAAATCAATTTGTGCGGGTTGCGTATAAATTTAGAACGAAGGGAGTAAAATCCATCGTAAAATCCGGCACACAACAGGGTCGTAAATAATCAACGGCTCTTCGATCCGACAACAATATTGTAACACCGGGACTACCGTTGCCGATAACGTGCGATTGACAGGTCAGTCTCTATCGGCATATATCCTATCTACGTCTCCGTGACAGGTGCCGTGGTGCAGTTGCACTGAAAGCGCGCGATTCGTATAACGTGAAGATCCCCGACGTCCACGAGCGCGTAATAATTTTTGCTCCTCAGTTGCAATAACTCGTCGCCATCGTTGATACTCGAGAAAAACAAATTCGTGTTGTTTTCCTTTAGAACTCGTTCGGGTAGAATAGCGGCGTATCTTTTCATTGTTTCCTCCGCGTCTTCCACCGCTCGGCGAGCTTCCTGCAAAAAGACTTGCACGAATGATCGCGCTACGGATCTCAGCCGCAATGGTACAGGTCAAAAGTTGCATGCATCAAACTATTACAAAATACTTTGCATCGAAAGACCTTTCTTTCCTTCTCTATCCGCGCCTGACCAGTAACATCATCGACTTTCTACAGTGATGTTTCAATATTTCACCTTTCCGACTTTATTTGGTTGTATGCGCGCAATAAAAAATAAAGTGGGCTATCACTGCCGCGTTCTTACCGCGATCTCCGATTCGTTCTGTTTATCCTCAGCGAGCCTTCGCCATTTCAGGAAGGCAGCCTCATGCACGCTCCTCGCTTTTTCGTATTCCGGGTAAACGTCAGTAGCGAGGCTCTTGTATCCGAATGCGCCAGCTGCGTTGGTATTACCGTCTCTCCCGTAAGAGCTACCGCCGAGGAACCAGACGGTGTATCCTTGCAAAATTGGATATTGCTTCGTTCGCATGTACCAATATAAGGAGAAGTAAAGGGCGAGCTCCTGATTGGGCCCACCCTTCCCGGGATGCTCGCCGAGATGAACGGTCGGTCGACCACCCAGCAGAAGGCACAGTCCCAGACCCCATTTGTCCTTTGTGGGAAACATCTCCCATACCTCCCGGTCGGTCAGAGGGCATACCGGACTCTCCTTCATTTGCTCGTACATCTCCAACTTAGTAATTTTGTTCTCAACTGCCAGGATCATTAGCGACGCGATCTTCACATACTCCTGCGCGAATTCCTCGACGGTTCCGCCACAGGTGAAGTTTAATTTCAAAGGGGACAGTCCCAGTTTAAGAGCATTCGCCGCCATACATTCTACAGCGTCGGCATTGCATGCGATCACGTATTGCTGCACGAACTTGTACCTTTTCTTTTCGTCTAATTGGGCGTCCGCCGCTGTTGTCCGAGGATTGGGTTCTTTTAACAGCTCGCGTACATTTTGCGATATTTTGTCAAAAAGTCTGTATTTTGTCAGAATAGTTAAGGCTCTTTGATCCTTCGGATCATAAATGCATGGATCACCGCCCAATTGTGTTGACGGTTCTGACACGTCAGACGTAAAGAGAGTGATGATTTTGGCCGGATATGTCAGACGCGCCAAATCACCACCTAAAATTTTTTTTATACCTTTTGTTTATATATGTAATCTTTTATTTATTTATTATTAAAAAGATTGTGCTTGCAAAAAAGCTTCAGACAATTTACACTTTTTTGTATAAATATGAAGAGTTAAGTATTTTTGTATAGGTTCTGTTATATTAATTCTGTATATTATATCAATTTGAGATTTTCTCTAGTAATATAATATTACTAGCAAAAGAAAGAAAGAATTAAATGAAATTAAATTCATTTAAATTTACACACACATCGTTTGAGTTATATTTTTTTGCAAAAACATTATAAGAAAACTGTAATGATAGCCAGAATATTATAGAATTTTATCTATTACATATTATCTTTATTTATTACATACTTATACTTTTCCTTTCAAGACATTAACGTGAAGCGTTAATGTCTCGATGTTAATCTAATTGTAATATAAGATTTTTACTGATAGATACAAATTAGTTTTAATTGTAGGATCAAATGCAATGCGATTTAGTCGTGAAAGTGACAAAATTAGTTTTATGTTACATTTATTTATCTAACAGGATTGTGTTTGTGTATATATTTCCAAAGAGATAGACGAGTGACGAGATATATATATGAATTATAAAAGTTTCACAGAAGCAGTTAATAAAATTTTCTTGCACCTAAACCATTTACCTCTTATCGCAGAAAGTTTATTTCTCACGATATTGATCTCTTCCAGAGTCGCATTAGCAGCTTTTAACCTGTTGAGAACCTTTAACTTATCTTTCAATGTAATTGTATCATGCGGATAGCACAGAAGATTGTCTAGATCTCGGGATAGCATAACTATCAATAGATCGCGTTTTTTCAATCGCTTACAGTAATTCGCGATTTTTCGTGTAATCTCAATTGCCTTTTCGTCCGGTTGTCCCTCTGTCCCGACTTCAACGAAAGTTATACAACTATCTAACTTTGGAAGAGCGTCCGGGAATCTCCACATTATGGAGATCGATTTGCGAGGTACTACAATAAATCCCTTTTTCAATTGTTTGCCAACCATTCTTTCGAATGCCGAGCTCATCATAACCACTTCCTTGCCCCAGCCAATGATATGCAAGTTATTATTTATTTTATATTTGACATCATTAATTATTAGCGTTGTACGACCGTCATACTTGATCTTCTTAGGAATAATTGCTGACGGGTAAATGCATTTTATACCGGCTTCGATGATAGCACTGAGATCTTGACGGACCTGCGTTTAAAGACCTTGGTTTAAAAATTAAGAAAATTACTTAAAGTTTATATATTAAAGGGGATTTTAGTTTCGGGATATTATACAATTTCTATATATACATTTGTATGTATATATTAATGAGAATACTAATACAAAAATGATATATGAATATTGCTTATCCCAAAACTGATTTATCGTCCTGTACGTACAATCTCAAGTACAACTCAAACATAATCGCGTATAAAATTGCAAAACAAAACCTCTTCCTTGAGAATTAATATGAAAGAGTGCCGATAAAGTAAAATAATGCTAGTCAAATAAAACACAGTTTTCTTCATATAATATAAAATAGTTTAGATATCTTTAATGTTATGTTAACCTGTAACATGGCTTTTTTTCCTTGTAATTTTTTGGTATCCTTAATCTTCTTCTGTCGAATGCTTATTTCTATATCGGAATGCACATTTTCTATCGCTATTTTATCAAATTGTCTTTGCTTTAAAGAAAGTTTTATGTCGTTTATGACTTCTTGTTTCTTTGCTTTTATCGTCGCGATTTCTTCTTGTTTCAATGAATCAATCGCATTCTGTATCTCCTCGCGTTGCATGATTTAACAATACTATCACGATTTTATAAAATAAATTATCAAAACTAGTTAGATATTGTGATGTGATTGGATGTTATATTTTAGGTTACTAAGTTGAATATAATTTTAAGTTACTTTGAGTTATTTTGTTTTAATCACGTGAGAACTAAATTAATTTTTTTATATTAATTTTTAAAGTATTAATATTTGTCTAAAATCTGTTAAATTTTATATGATTGTTAAAGTTTTTTAATGTACCCCATTACAAAAATTACATTAAATTAAAATTTTTAATTAAAGAAATATTAAGAAATGTTAGATTATTATTAATAAATGTTCATTGTTAGAAATTGTTCGTATATATTATAGTTTTAATTCTGTGATAATGCGCAAAGATATTTTATTAACGGGATTTCTTTTAGTTTTGTTGATAATAATATGTACCTATATTATAGATGCTTAATCATTTTATCAAATTTACTTTGTTGCCAGCAAATGAACGGAGGAAATCAGGTAATATTCGAGGGACACTGATATGACCGTTCGTCGGTGTCAAAGATTGAGCATGCATGAATTGAGAAGTTTTAATATTACATTGCAAATTAATCATGAATATCTACACAATTTAAATTAATCGAGAGCAATTACAATTATAGTAAGGTTTTTGACCAATTTAATTTTAAAAATTATGATTTATTATTTAATAGATATTTGTTATTGGTAATTTTATATTAAGATGACGATGCTAACATATTTCAAATGGTGAAATTATTGCATAAAGAGTAATTACTAAATTACAATTTGTTTATTAATGGCAATCTTATGTTGAAGCAATAATAATACTTCAGTAGTCGCTATTATTGCATGATGGATACTTATTTACTGTTGGTAATTTTATCTGCTGAAATAAGAACATTTCAGGTGGCGCGATTATCGTATGTCGACGACGGAGTTGAACACGACATACGTGAACACATATTGAGTATTCTACTGTCTAGCGAATGTAGGAGAATTGAATTGGAGAGGTTATGCTGGATAAAAGTAACTTATTTGATATATAGCGTTTCTAAAACGACACGAAGTGTGCGAGTGAGAACTTTCTAAGACTTTTTAGAAAATGATCGATGTCGGAGAAGAATTGAAGTTATCAAAATAAAATTATGTTCGTCAACCGATAGAGCGACAGTGGATTTACTAGTCTGCACGATAGAGGCTGAAAGATCATTTCTAAAAAGAAAAATAATGGAAAACCATTACACCAATTTATTTCGCGTCATCTTTATGCTAAACTGTTTTGTCCTATTTCTTTCCTTCACGGGAGTGACGATAGTGACAAGCGCACCAGTGAGGCCAAGTATCATAGACATTATGAAGAATGATTCGGAACTATGCTTGACATCCAATGTTTTATATGATTCAGAATATACAAAACCTTGTGCGTCTATGGCATATCCAACTGCTCCTTGGAACTATAATTTAGAGACATTAAATGATTATCTGTGTTTAGGAATTTATGACACAGCATACAAGATCTGTCGATATTCTAGTCAGTTACCAATTCCTCTCAATAGTACAGCAATATTTAATTCATATCTGGAGAAATATGTTCCTAATAAAAATAATGCCCAGGAAGATTTTTGTAACAGTCTACAAGGATTTACACCACAATACGAGAAAATAGATTCACTTTGGAAACAACTGGTCAAAAGTCTTAATACACCTCACAAATGCGTAAGGATATGCTTCGATTTCGAAGATAAGTTTCATCCACTATGCGCAGTATTTGCTTGGATCAAGAGCATTGATGATACGATGGAAAGTGCAAAGAAGGTAGAAACAAAACATGATCTTGTTGCAACTGATAAACCATATGTAAGTCAGTCAAAGGATGGAACAATGGGTGATAAAATTACATCAGTTGAATCTAAAAAGATAGAAACAAAAGGCTCCAAAGAACAGAACAGAAAGCAGAAAGTTACAACAGATTCTAACAATAGTAATAATGTTAAAGAAGGTAACTTAAATATGCCTGCCAATGCGCCACCTGCAGATGTAAAATTTGGCGAAGAAAAAAAATCTGATACTGAAAAAACAAACAACATTCAGAAGAAAATTAATAATACCTTCGAGACACAAGCTCACAAGCCAGCACCTTCGATAATTAAAGAAAATAAAGAGAATATTGGTACTGATGTTGAAGTTGCAGAATCTATAAAGGATATTCCTCCAAACAGTGATTCACAAGCTCCATCAATAAATAAAGCTATAAAAAACGTTGTAAATGAAGGAAACGCAGAGAAACCTAATAAAGAACAAGATATTGATGATATAAAACCCAGTACAATATCAGAAAATACGCAAGATCATTATGATGCTGAAAATCCAGAAGAAAATATGGAAAATGATATAGATGGTATTAATACTTATAAATATGCATTTATAATGTATATTGTTGTTAATGTTTCTTAATGTGTATTTGTCTGTATGTGTATATGTCTAATTTGTTTTTCAAAAAATATATGAACTTGAATAAAAGTAATAAAAACAAATATGAACTTTATTGCATATTTTTCCGAAATTTTACATTCTGTCGTATTTTTTGGCACAAAAGAATAAAATATATAAATTATGTTCATGTTATAAAATATTTTTATAGATGCATTTTTATAAAGAAATATAAGAAGAAAGAAAATAATATGTACAGATATATACAAATTATGTTATTGTAATGTATTCTATATTTTTTATATAATTTATTTAGCCTTATACACATACATATATATAAATAAATGTTATATGTTCATAATTTTCAGATGTAGGCGATACACTTCAACACCCAGATACAGGTAAGAATGCTTGATAAAAGTTGTTTGGTATTAATTCTGTCATATAACTAATAACTATATATTTATAACATGTGCATTGTTTGAAAGGAAATCAAAATGGAAATGTGCAAGAAGCTTTTGAACAGAAGAACAGTAATGTTCGACTAACGGAATATTCTAATATGAGAACGGAAGACGATTCCCATTTCTTCACTTATTTTACTGTGATCACTTTGGCTTGTCTTGCTGGATACATAGGTTATCATAATAAACAGAAGGTTAGTTTAACTTATGCATTTTTATTTGCAGACATTTATGATTATTCTCAATGACTTTGTCATATGTAAAATAATTTGTTTTATATTTCAGATATTTGCTATTGTATTAGAGGGTCGAAGATCAAGGAATAATCGTGGAAGACGACGACCGAGCACAGCCAGCTATCGTAAGCTGGATTGTACACTTGAAGAAGCTGTCACATCGCAATGTAATGCTAACGTTACTCATGTCATATATTAATGCGAGTAGAGTATCATAAATTTTATAATGCCTGTATTATAGTATTACAAGTGTAATATATTTTGTATTTAAGCATATTTTCAGTATAATATTATTTAATTTTCTAAAAAGTTTTATAGTTTAGCATTGAAGCGATCTGTCATATTATAGTAACGAAATTTATGAATAATACATGATATAACGTTTAATATGATATCAGAGAATCTAATTATATTTTCAATTTATATTACAATTTATGTTATAATTAATTGATATTTTATTATCGAGTTCAATATATGTTTCACAATTTATAAAACTTTCATTATATTATAGTTAATCTCCAGTAAACAAATTATCTAGTATATTGTAATGCTAGTAACAAATTTGATTAAAAATCGTTGGCAAATTGGCATTAATTGTGTTTATATGAAACTCATGTTTTGTCGATAAAGCCTACTGACTTAACCTGATAGCAGATTGGCAGAAAAGAATGTCGTTTATCGAAATTTGTTCGAAACTTGGAGTTTTGGTCGAAAACCAGAGAAGTGGCAATCGTGATCGAATTGTATTAAATCTGTAATATTTCTGTCGACAAAATTTGAAGCAACATTTTGCAGAGTCTCTTTTTGGCAGACTTGGTTGTATGCATTGATAAAGAATCCACACAATTTTTTAATTTTTATTTGTATTTAGAAATTATAATCAGCAAGTAAATAGAAAATGATTAATAATTTTTGTTTAATATATTACATTTCTTAGCGTTTTAATAAGGATGTTATCATGGAGATTTACATTGCATATAATATTAAAACAACATATATAATACATATTTGGAGTTTAGCAATTTACAGAAAAAAAGATACGATATATTAATTATGACAAAATATGACACACTAAACATGATTAATTAATTATTAACACAAATCAATATTGGACAATCTGTCGATTATAATTAATTGTTAATTAATTAATTGTTAATTAATTATAATTATAATTATTAATTTAATGACACATATGATAGTTGATCATTTGACGTAGCACACAATTTCTTATCCATTTACATTTTATTTTTAATGGATATGAGTATTGAAAATGAGTAAGAGTAATGAATAATGAATATCTTATTTTTAATTAGTCTATGTGACACGTTATATCATATAAATAATTATAAATTAATCTAACCGTTGTATGTTACTTATATTATTATCATCAACGTTTTTTAATTTATTTCTAAAAAGTGAAATTTCACGAAGTTTTATGATAAATTTGGATCAATTTGAGGTACTTAAAAACGAATCTAGTCATCCTGACGACACAGATAGTTAAAACGAAATATCGTTGATACTCGAATGTCCGTTTTTCCCAACCATTTTAGTTCTACGAATTAGAACAAAAATAAAAAGTAAATTAAACCGAGATTAAAGTTAATCTGCATTGATAGAAATAGACATAGTCACGGGTGTAAAAAGAATTGCATGCGTGGCGCCGATAAACTTATTGGCATGTTACTTTGTCTTCCATGAAATTTAAAAATGTGTAATACGATGGTTCTCTCTTTATTTTTGACAGCGTTCTGACTTACAGATAAAATGTGAGTTCTTATGCTGTTCTTATGACACATATATATTTTATTTCTTTACGCATTTTTTTTGAATTTATTGAATGTCTATTTTAAAACTTAATCGCACGTTCAACTGATTGTGAGACATTTGATCAGTTTTGTAACGTTTGTATGCGGCTAAAGTGGCAAGAGTTATATTATTACACTTTTTTTATATCTTCTTTTTTTTACAAGAATAAAATGTTGTTATACGATTTTAAGTACGCATAATTTACTATATCAATGCACAATTTTAAATCTTGAATTTTTGCTAAAAGGATTACTTGACTAAGAAGCTATAGTATTAATATTCTTTAATTAATGCTATATTCTCTAGCAAAAAAGAACCGTCCAATTATATTCAATTAAAATTTACTGCTAATCTTGTAAATCTTTATATGCTATTTGTAATGAATTTAATATACATAATATATAATAATATATAAAATTTAAATAGTACCAGAGGGCAAATTAGATTTTTAATTAAAAGATGCATCTATACTATATTCTCTAGTACCCAATTACTATATTTTTCCAGGAGCACGTAATTTTAACTTTAATGTACTTTATTATTATTATTACCGTAAAAAAATAATTTACATATGTATGTATATGTATATATATATACATGTATGATTCTATATGTATAATATAATGATATGTAATTATCTCAGTATCGTTTATGGTATTTAAAATAACATATAAATGTTATGAATATGTTAACTTAATTAAATACATTAGAATATATTTTTTCATATTAATTTTATCTAATACATATGACGAATTTTATATAATCTAGTTATCACATATATTTACATATACATTTATTTTGTTTAGAAATAGTTTATGATACAGTATAATAATTATCTTTTTAATTATATTATGGACAAATTTAGTCTGTCTCTAATTTCGCAAATATAGTTCGAAAATTGTAAATGCCTGGACATAAAAGAATGGATCTAATTACCTGTCATGATTTTATTTACTCTTAATTGCATTTATCCCATTTTAGGTAGCATATCAATTCATGGTTTTTAGTATTTTTTGCCACAATGCCAATTTATTGAATGTAGCAAGACAAATGCTAAAATGACTTATTTAAAAATTACAAGATATTTCATAAGATATTAAAGAAAATGTTTTTTAGACAATTATATATATATATATATATATATATACAAATTATTTCAGTATATTTATATATAAAATTAATATGCTTATTAATAATAATAATAGTATAACAAAAACTATAAAAAAAAATAAGCTGTTACACAAATTTATATTTCTTTTAAAACAGCATTATAGAATTGCCGGTTATAATAATGTTGACACGTAGGTCATAATCAGTTCTGATTGTTTCATCAAACGATCGAAGCGTTATCGCTAATACAACAAAAGTAATTGTGTCCATGATAAAATAAAATTGAAAACGATTACTGTGATTTGTTAACGACGTAGAAAGAATTATGATTGTTTTAGATCGTATTCATATCCATACCACCATGAAATACTCATGCTGTGGTATTACCTACGTGACCTGATGATATCGAGCTTATCGTGTTTTAAAGAACTGCTGGCTTATACATTGATAAGATATTGTATTTGGGAGTCTGTGAATATAAACGATTATATACATATAAGATATTTGAAATAATCGTTCTAATAACAAATAGCACAATTTTTAAGATTCATAATTTGAATATTTATTTCACAAAATATTTATCTAAAAATATATATCTAATCAATGTTTATATTAAGATAACTAAAGTTTTTTTTATCTTAAATTTACATTTATTTTTTAGTATCTGTTACATGGAAGCTTATCTATCCACGCAATAAATACCATCTCTACTGTGATATTTTATCCAGTTTAAATAATCCGTGTTTTTCACATATACACCTGGGATCCCAGGATCGGCGCATCCAATACCCCAGGAAACTATACCTATTAAAATAATAACAGACAAAATGTTACTTGAAAACAAAACTATAAAATTCATAGCATAATTGATAATTTTTTAAATTAACAATTGATATTCGATTTCAAAAACACGATTGAAAAATATATATGTAAAACTGACGATATTCTTACCAATTACTTCATATTTTCCATCCATTCTTTCATACAGAAGAGGTCCGCCACTGTCACCCTGAAATTTTAATATTATTAATATCCTTCAAATGCAGCATATATGTATATATTTGAGAAGTAGATGTGTTTTGATCTTATATTGGTTGATTTATACAAAATATTTCAGGTCACCATGGAACAAACTTTATGGGGTAGGGTGGTAGGTAAATTATTTCTGTTACCAAGAGAATTAATTTTTGTCCCAAAAAACCCATCCTGAAATATTCTGTATATTACTTGTGCAACATAAACTGTCGAATACATATAGTAAAAGAAAATTTAGGAAGTCAATATCTTTACTGATGTATGCACAATAAAACAAATGTTTAATATTATTTTGATCCCAAAGTATAATATATTGGAAGATTAAATTGATCATGATCATGACACAATACCTGACATGCATCAGTATTATCGTTGTAAGCACACATCATCGATTCCGTCAGATGATCTCCAAATGAAGTATTCTTACAGGCTGCGAAAGACATTACTTTCAAGGTTGCTTGACGCAAAAATTGAGAAGGTTCTCCTTCGACCTGGACACGTCCCCATCCAGTAACTTTGACGTATTGTCCCGTATAATCAGAACCTATCATTGAAGACTTATTTACATTGCTCTTTTTTTATATTTTAAAAATACTGATATACGTGTGTAAAAATATAAGAGAAATATAAATAAATACCTTTAGTTTTTTTAAACTTTAATATTCCAAGTGTCTTTTAATTTATCGAATTTTTAATTGAAATTTAACTGAATATCTTAAATATTATGAAAAGGCTGACCTTTATGTGGAAGGCAAGCAGGTCTCACGTTTTCATTGATTTTAACCGGATGCCGTAATCGAATCAAGGCAATATCATTTGTGTCATGGAGATAATCACTCTCGAAATTTTCGTGTAAAATTACTTCATCAATTGCAGCTATGTATCCCTCGTTTGGATTTAGGATATCGTGCATACCTACGCCAATCGAGAGATCGGCATGATTCGTCCTATGCAAGTCGCAAGAAAATTTGAGAATTATAAAATATTTTATATTTTATAACGTACAATGATACTTGTTCTTACCACCAAAATGCTTAATTATAATAATAATATATAATAATATACAATAATAGATAAGTTTAATAAAATTTATTACTTTTTTTTGATGATATTATTTTAAATATTTGTATGGAGACTTTAATATTTTTAAAGTTTGCAAATTAACATTATGATTTAGAATGTTATTTATGTATGTTTTTTGAATATACTTAAATGTTTTAATGATTTGCTAAATAAATTTTATATGTTATTAAACAGTCGTTGATCTTGCAAATGTATTGCGTATGAGTTTTCTAAGAAAATATACCATATTAAGTGCACTTTTAACCTTTCCTATTAAAGATATAGATAAGATACCATTTAACGCAATGTCCGGCAGTTAACACGTATTGATTATTAATTAATGTGCCTCCGCAATGAAGACTTCTCTTGTTGAGTATTGCGACGACCCAAGGAAATATATGCGGAATTGTTATTTTTCCGCCGACGATGCGATTCGATATCCCTCCTGTTTCCCCACATTCTGTTACAAGAAAGAGATTTAATAAATTGAGTAAAATTTCATATATATGCAGAGATAAAGTATAACGAAAAATAATAAAATATATTATACGTGTTGTACGATACCTTTCCATAGATTTTTTTAAAAATTTGATATTAATATCTAGTGAGAAAATTTGATTAAAAAAGATCTTTTTCTGTCAATTTTTATTTATTCCGTAACATATGTCTTGTATATTTGACTTGATATATTTTGCTCATATTATTACCCTTATAAAGCACAATTAATACAAGTGAAATTAATCGAATTAAAAATAAATGTTTACTAACAGGATATTCCAGAATAAAAAAAATCTAATATTGATTCCTATACGCTTTTATGTGAATGAGTTTTGTCGCGCGCATATATGTGTATAATTTTAATATAATTTTTACCGCAATTTGGATTTACTCGTAAGTGTAGACGCTGCTTCTGCGCGCGTGCCTGAAAATGAGCACAATGCAATTTATAACGGTAAATAGTGATTTATTACTTGCGCTCCATTTCGACTTGCCCTTGTGATAATTTCATTTAATTACTCTGTCAACGAACGTCTAGGGTCAGAAGAATGCCAATTGCGGTCGTCAGGGTTAAGTGGGGCTTCATGATGCGCGACTTCTGTTGAGATTTCACCTTCTGAAAACAGCACGAGGCGACTACTGAGCGCAGCACAGAGAACACTCTCTTCTATATCGAACCGTGAATAACAACGGTAACCAATTTCGATGCTGCATCATTGTCGAGCATATCACCTCGTAGGCATTTTATATCTCGAGGAACGTGTACCAATAAATCGCTATTCTCATTAACACTTGGACAGTTTTAACGAATGATCACGTAGCACAAAATACGCTGCAATCTCCATGGTCCGAATTAATTAATTATAAAATCGAAATATAGATTTTAAAGTATTAGAAGTCCTCATAAAGTAGATGAGCTATAGTTGTATAGAAAAAGTTGTATTATATAGATTTTTTAAGAAAATTTTACCACGAAAAATTTGTACAAAAATTAGATAAAATTATCTTTTATTTGTTGATATATATTTTACATATGTTTTTATAATCAATTAATATACATATTCAATTGTTGAATTTTATCTGTCCTTCCATGTGAAGAATGTACTTTATCCTGTTCAAGAGATGGGTCGGCAGATTTTACGGGTCGCTGCTCTTCCTCACCTCGAAAGTGTTATAAATTACTCTTAGAAAGGCAGGAAAGGTATTAGGGTAGTATATGGGCGATAAATTCTTATAAGGATTTCCTCTAGCAATTGTGTCTGTGACTAAAGTCAGTGCATGAAGAAGAAGATGATGATTTGAGCACTTACGTTTTCATAAAAAAAGAGATCAGAGAATAAGCCTCTTTGTAACACGTAAATCTAAAACGTGTAGAGGGTATGATAAGGGTAATTTTACGAATAATAGTAGAATTACATCATACAAATCAGGATAAATAAAATTACAGTTTTAACAGCATTATTGCCCTGGACAATAGTTTTAATGTAAATATTATGGCTATTAAAGAGAATTAAACATTCATTGAATATTGAACATTGAACATTTGTTGATGTATCGCTATTTATTGGTGTTGCCTTGGCACATATATCAGTCCGGTTCTGCAATCCGTATCATGGACGCTTGCCGACGATCAAGTACAAATAAGTATTGCTGCAGTTTACGAGATATATAGACAATGCGGTTAACAAGGTTTATGTGGCACAACAATTGATAAACGTTCAATATATCATGAGAAAGTTCGTAATTAAACATTGGTAAATTTGCAAAAATATTGACGTCATATATTGTACATTTGCAAGACAAATAAAGTGAAATTTGTTTATTTCTTTACTCCTCTTATCAATAAATTTTTATATATGATGATTATTTGATTACGTGATCTGAAAGATTGTTTCAGCTATATATATCAGTGCCAACTTGGAATTGTGATATAACTTATATTTTATAATGCAATAAAAATGTTTTTATTTGGAAATACATGATTTCTATTTATATGTTATAATTTTCATATTTTTAATGTTTGTGTAATGATAAGAAAATGTATATATATGTACATATTTTTACACCCGTACTGTGCGCCCGTGCCGTGCGCTCATGCGAGTCGCCCGGTAGATGCTGTGAAATCGTGAATCGCCTTTCTTTTACAATATCGAGTTAGCTCTTTCTGTGCGAGTGCCGGAATACGCGTCGCGCGTGAGTGATTGTACGTATGATTGTGCAGCGGACGCGCGACGAGTGTAAAAATATATATATATATGCATTTTAAGCAAATAACATTTTGTTTATTTTGATATTTAAAATTATTTTATGCATTTTCTAAAATGCAACATTATAATAGAAGAAATAAATGTAATTATCAGTATCATATATATGCAATAATATTTTCATAGAATTATTGAGAGAAAGGTTGCCTGTATTTTATTTTGTACAGTAGCATGCATCCTTAGTATGTTGTAATATCCAGTCAAGACGTGGTCCTACTTTCGTGAAAACAGTTGGCCTAGGAGTGTCGTCGCATTCATTCACGCTTGGAATAATTCCTATAATATATATAATATATACATATGGGGCATTTCATGCCAAATCGACCAGGGTTTTGACCCTCGACCTCTCGGATTTAGTCGTCTATTTTTCATGTTATTGTTCCACCTCTAAGATGCACTCTGAATTTTTTTTAGATTTTTATTTAAACAATTGATTTAGTTATAATTTTTTAAACCGACATATTGATGGCCACAATTTATCAATCTGAAAAAATTCTCAAAAATCCTGTGTCAGATATCCAAATTTTTAAGCCGAGGCTCAAAGTGGGCGTTTGCTTCTATTTTCTTGAGTTAAAAAAAAATTAGAAGCAGACGTTAGTCCACTGTAGGCTGTTGCTTAAACATTTTTATACAACACAAGATTTTTGAGAATTTTTTCAAATTTTTTTAAAATAATTTCCAAAATAAAAAAATCGCGTCGGAAAAATCTGAAAAAATTCTCAAAAATCCTGTGTTATATACAAAAATGTTCAAGCAACAGCCTACAGTGGACTGACGTCTGCTTCTAATTTTTTTCAATACTTTTTTTGAAAAAAAAAAACGCGAAAAAAGCTTGAAAAAATTAAAAGCAAACGCCGGCCTACTTTGGGCCTAAGCTTAAAAATGTTGATATCTGACACAGAATTTTTGAGAATTTTTTCAGATTTTTAAATTGTAGCCATTGATATGTCGGTTTAAAAAATTATAATTAAATCAATTGTTTAAAAAAAATCTAAAAGAAAATTTAGAGTGCATCTTAGAGGTGGAACAACAACATAAAAAATCGCCGACCAAATCCGAGAGGTCGAGGGTCAAACTCTAGTCGATTCGGCATGAAATGCTCCATATATTATGTTAGTAATATATTTCTTTAGCTTTAGCAATTAAAAATTTACATGTGTACTAATCGTAAATATATATAATCGCTAAAATCTCTCTCAATAAATTGAGGTTCAAATTCAAACAAGATATATCTTTCTTTGAGTTTCCTAATGTTTACTACATTTTTAAAAATACATTATTATCAAATCATTATATTTCTTACTAATATAAATTTGGTATGTAGCTATTTTTGGATATTAAATTAGCTTTAATTTGACAAATGGTCATATTTACCAATAAGGTCGTAAATTCCGATGTATGATCGATATTGCACAGAAGTTCCGACGTCATTCTGTAAATATGCAACATTATTACGATATAATTAAGTATAATATGTAATTTACATTCTTTTTAAATTAAGATATATAATATGACATATATATGTATAATTCACTTACACTGCACACCAAAGATTTTGTACCCACAACCCCAATGCATCCGTAATCATCATTTAATGTTAGATTTATTCCTGATTTAATACACTCATTATATCCCAGAATGGGAAGTCCTATTTTTCGAGGCCTACACAGTTCAACATCAACATTGTCTTTGTGCCTGGTCCATCCTACTAAAGTTCCAACTTGACCGAGATAAGTTGATCCTAAAATTCAGAAAAGAAAATTTGGATGTGTAGCTCTACATTTTATTATCATATTTGTTAGATATCCTAGATTTATGCTAACGTAAAGAAACAAACCTGGATTGGGTAAGCATACTGGCGATATTCTTTTCTCGAATTTGATTGGTCGACTCAAACGAATTAAAGCTAGATCATGAGTACTCGACTCCGGATTGAATTCTGGATGCAAAGTTACAGATTCGACGCTGTTGTTTACTGATGAGACATCTAAAGTACATCGATCGTATTCTCCCAAGGATATCTTTATTTCATGTGCTGTTGCTCTGCCGAGAACAATATTAATTACAGAATATTCTACAATTAATCTTTTTTGCTATTACTAAGGTTTGATTGTGTTTAATAATAATATTAAAGATTTCAGTCTGTACTAACCCAACAAGTTGACTAGCCGCTGTTAAAACATAACGATCGTTTATCAATGCTCCACTAACTAGCAATTTGGACTTTATGTGAATATTCGCAAGCCAGGGAAATTCATGCGATTCTGTATATTCGCCACCCAATAATCGCGCTGCATTACGATTTGATCGGCCGCATACTACAGGTGTATAAAGTATCGATTATTTTATATCAAATACATTTAAAAATTGAGATAGAAACATATATAACAAAAAATTATTTATGTTAAAGTTATAAAGAAAAAATATTTTTAATAAAATATACAAAATGTTTAACAATCGGGAACATATTAATGATATTTGTTGCGATCAAATTTCTCTATGATATTCCAGAAAGATATCTTTTTCATATTTCACATAATGTGTATTAAATGTAACTAATACAACTCATTATGTTATTTTGTGAAAGAGTGAAAATATGGTGAATTGCTATGATATGAAGTTTTCTTGTAAATGCGGGCGGACGTTAACGTTTCTGATTGTAGGTAATATGAGCTGCTAAAAACTTCCGAGAAAGTGTGTGTGTGTAGTTATCGTTTTAAAATATATTTGATATTTTTGCACGATAGAAAAAAAGTAATTAAAAGATGATAGTTATGATCATATTTATAATAAGAATCAGTCTGCCAAAATTGTTTTTCTAGTTTCTGTAATACTATTTTTTATGATTTTCTCTGTATAACTTATATCATAGGTACTCATTATTTAATTGTAATAATTACACATACGTGTATATATTAATATCATACATTATATATTAATAATATTACTTACAGCAAGCACCACAGGTACGAAACCTTCCAAAAAGAAGATCTAAAACGCCGCGTTTATGTCTTGTTTCAATCTGATCATTGACCTATCCAACAAATATATTTGCAAATTTTTATACATTACAAGTTTTTAAATATAATTTGAGTAATAATCTTCAATCTTTCTAACCTTCTTTTAGAAATATAGAAATACAGAAAGAATAACAAATATCAGTGCAATGTTATGAAAAATGGAAATGTAGTGACATTAAAATAGAAAATTTTGTTACACGTGTCAAATATACTAATTGATAGAACTATATGAAAAATTGTCAAAGTAGCCCATTGCGGTAGAAATTAACACGGCAAAATTGATATGCAGAAGCTTACGGCGGCATCAATGACACGTTCGTTGCAGTCAGTTCTTCCAAAATTCACCACCAAGATACAAATTAAGAATCTTATACAGTCTTGCAGATTCATGACTTTTCTGTCGGTAGTCGAGGCGATACTGGTCTCACTTAAACAACTGGTTTGTGTCATATAGCGGGACTATCATTGCCCGCATCCTGAGACACTCTCAAGAATGTAATATCTCTGAATATATCCCGTACGTTTCACATTTGTGTTCAAGCATTTGATTCTACCGTTGTGTTCGTTTCGTTTTTTTTTTTATATTTCATTTTGGCACGAGAAGCAAGTCGGTAACCGGTTCGCCCGTCCCGTTATACATATATACGTTTCTCAGAATCTCAATCAATATATCACTTAACATCAACGAAATTCGTTTGATATCTTTGATATTTGAGATTTATGAATAAATTCTTGAGTATAATTGCAATAGTGCAAATCTACATGTTTATAATAATTTGTATGCCATGTTTAATTCTGTATGCTTCTTCTATTAAAATTTGTGATTTATTTTCAGCTACATATTTGGTTTCGTAAGAGATATTTTTTTCGAAAATACTGTCATAAAAATTATAAAAATATTTGAAATATCAGATACATATATATCCATTAAAAATTTTTTTTAAATAGGACTTTCAAAATTAGTAGAAGTATAAAATAATGTAAAACTTAAAATATGAAATAAAATCGCAGAACATGATAAATTACATTTTTAAAAACGTATATGGGAAAGGAGCTACTTTATGCAAATTTATTACATTGTTGTATAAAGTATTATAATAATAAAGATTTTCTGTAGAAAGATATGACACATACTGGTAGCTTAAATATATAATCTTAATCTCACTATAGTCAATTTCCTTGGCAATAAAATTAAGTACCTATTGTAAATATAGCCTTTGATGGCTATATTTCAGCAATAGCAAGAAAGATTATTGGATAAATAAATATTGCATGGTATAATATTATTTTTGCAAATGTTTGACAATATAAAAAAAATACTGCGATGACATCATATAATATCATATCTATTCGTAATTTTGTAATACCGTCTCTATACTTATTCATTCATTGCTGTTGTATAGACATTAAATAGGAGAATATAACAATAAATGTAATACAGATATGTAATATAGATAAAATGTGAAAATAATATACAAAAATTCAAATTGTTTGAGCAATTTAAGTTCATCAGTTTTCCGGCGCAGCGTCACTTCAAATTTGCTAAATATATAAATTATGCGTAAAAAATCGTTACGAAAATATCATGTACATCTTAACAACATATTTAGCACGAGAATTCAGAGAGCTTATACATACTGTAGTACGTAAAAATCATCTTCTTTGTTCTTTTTATTATATCTCTCAGCAAGAATCACCGGGTAACCATAATTAATTATGCTCACAAAAACAGCCGTCTTTTGAATTTTTTAAAATCCAATCCATATACCGTGTAACTCTCGTATATACACCTGGGTAACCAGGTCTTGCGCACCCGTTACCCCAAGACACCACACCAATGAGTTCGTACTTCTTATCTTCGCGCTCCGCTATCAAGGGTCCACCACTGTCTCCCTGTAATGCAAAAGATTTTTATTGTTCGCGCATTTGATTCAGTAATATTGAATAACATATTCATATTCATATATAATATTCATATATTCATATATAATAAAGTTTTTAATGTTTAAATGCGCTATATCTATTAGATAATACGCAATACATTAACATAAGACACATTTTATCATGTGTATTTTTTAATAATTCTTTCATTTATTATTGTAATTATTTATTTTTAATTTATCACATACAAATATTGCAGTGATTATTACCTGACATGAATCTTTTTGCCCTTCAAGATAACCCGCGCATAGCATATTGTCTGAAATCATTCGAGAACTGTAGCTAGTATTGCGACAATCCTGAAGACTCATGACTGGAACTTCGACTTCCTGTAGAAGACAAGATGGTTTGCCATCCTCTTTTAGCGTGCCCCAACCTGACACGATTGCTTTTGATCCCACATATTCGTTATCTAAAACGTAATTCTGCACTATATATTATGACAAATAATTAATTACGCAAGGTCGGTAATTGCAGCAACAATAATCTTGGAAATAATTAGCAAAATATTATTTTTAATATTTTTCTTAAGTAAATTTAAATATAGATTTAATAGCAAAATAATATATTGGTATAAGTCTAATTGAAAGAATCTTAGAAGTAATCGATGTTTTATTAAAGAAATAAAAGATTTGAAAACTACTTAAAGATGAACGTTAAGAAGTTTTCGAATACAGTCTATTCTATGCGTACATTATTAATACGAATATGCTGTATTACCAGAAAACAGGGCATGTAAGTGTATCATGCTGCGTTAACAAATTCAGGAAAGATTATTGCGTGCATTCGAAATGCAAATTCGAAGTCCCCGATTTCAGAGAAATCTTCATTATTACGCAGTTATGTGCGTCGCGACATTACAATAACTGAGAGTAGGTACCCGTATATTGACTAATTTATGACTCCGCTATCGCGTAATCGTCGCATAATAAACATGATGGCTAGTCGCAGATCGCGCAATATTATTCAATATTATGCTCGGTTATGCAAAACATATTGGCCAAAATTAATAATCGCAAATTCATTATTGTAATATCGACAGGGCATGAAATTGTATGTGATATAATGGATATCGAAATGGATATCGATAATTTATTCGACATATTAGATTAAGGCTGCAGCGGTCGCATGTCTTATTATGACTTTATCTCTGTCAAACTGTTAAGAGAAATTATTAACAAAGCATTTTATAGTAGGGGAGACCGGGGCTCGTTGGCAATGCGTTCCGTTTATGTATTTATAACGAAAAAAGCAATGGAAATTTCTCAAATTTCATTTATCACAAAATATCTCTTATATGACATAGGTACTTTTCCCAAAGTTTCATTTTTTTTAGTTTTTTTAATGAAACAAGTATTACAATAGAAAAAGAGAAAACTCTGATTTAAGAGATGGCAAGTAAATTTTCGAGCGTTTCAAAATATCGTATTAATGTTCTCCAGCTTGAGAAGTAAATTAAAGTGACGTATCATTAGTTAAAAGAAAAGTTTCTGTTACTATACGACATGTTATTTTGACTAACAACAGTAATTTATTGTAATAAATGACTGAAATAAAACGTATTTAGGGATGGGGTATGTTGGCTCATATCAAGACACGCTTAGCTTGACTTGTTGCCGCGCGCGTGAGACCTGTTTGAGCATGTGATTTGCTATTTACAATGTCGATAGAAGCTAGATGTATATTTATATTAATATTTTTATGTTGAAGAAAGCTACATCTAAAATAGTTTACAATTGTTTTTCTGCAACAGTATTTTGCTATTCGATCATTACAAAATAACTTTAAAAGATACAATCTTTATCAAGAAGTACGTATCTGTTACTCGTTTTGTGTTTCTATTACGTTTTCATTAATTTAACATGGACTTTTGTCGCATAGCCAACTTACCCTACTATCGGGGCAAGTTGGCTACAATGCAGCATGTTTGTATTTCACTTATTACAAAGAAACTATACAGTATACAGGAGCGTTCCTGGCATGAAAATGTAGAGAAAGGTTCTCTATCATATTAGTAATGTTTAATCATGATAATTAGTTGTATAAAAACTCAAATGCCGAAATTGTGAAAACGGCGCCAACGAGCCCCGATCTCCCCTACGCCAAATAAAATTTGAGTATGTAGTATATGCATTATTATTACTATTATTGTTCAGCCTTTTAATATATGTATTTATACAAAAACATTTTATCAGTTATAATTTCTAATCTAATGAAAATTATAAGTTTAAAGTTATAATTTTTATTATTATTAATATTTGTTACACTTTTATAAAGTCTTTATAAAGAGAAAATAAGTACATTCACATGATGGTGATCCAATCTTTATAAAAGTGTTTCTATCAAACATTAATATCAATATCTTATCACACTCTTATAAAGAAAGAAGAAAAATGCACTTACCCAATATTGACGGTAAACATATCGGCCGTATTGTATCGCTTAATGGTACCCTTTCATTAAGGCGAAGCAGCGCAATGTCATTCTCGAAATTCAGAAAGCTGAAGTCGCCAGTCATAATACGTACCACATATCTGGTTTCCGGTCCTTTCTCGATACATCTATCGTGCTCTCCGAAAGTAACCTTGATCATGAACCACATGAATCTGAAAATAAGACTAGAAGAACTGATCACATTCGCCTGGCGAATGAGATTGCGATGGGGGAACTTAGTTAAAATGAATAAAAATAAACCCTACAGTAAGAGAAAATCTCCCGAATTAATTTATTTAGTAATGACTCGATTATTATTTGTTTTTATATCGACTGAATTATATGTTTTAAAATCTACATCAGTAATGTAAAATTTAACTGTTTTGAATGATTTCATTAAACAAAGTTATATTATTAATAAAATTATAAATAAATTGTAAATTATGTTATTTAGAAAAGATATATGTGTATAGATGAGATAATGTACACGATGAATGTGCTACATAAGATGTATTGATAAATGCTACAAATGATATTTCAAATTCTTTTGAGTGTTGAATGCTTTCTTTCTTATTTACTACATATTGAATTTTTAACGACACGTAAACGAATTTTTTAAACGATATTTATGTTTACAATAAATTATGCTTTAACTATTTACTTAATTAAATACATAAATATGTGGACAAACAGCTTTAAGGTGACAGATTCTTTACGTTGTTGTTTGCAGATAACTAAAAATTGCAATCATCAACAGTGAAATAATTTAGCACTCCTTCACTTCAGTATAGAGGGGCTAACGGTAACTAAAAGTTTTCCTTGTAGCATGACATTAATCAAGGATGCAAATATGAAGTTTGACCTGTTTGCATATCGAGTAGATGATGCCAACAGCACGAATTGTAGCGATTTTATACTCACAGTTAATTCATGAAAATAGTTTTAGTATTTCACGCGCTCTTCCAACAATTTTATTTATGCCAAAAGATTAATTAGACATTATCTCCTGTTAAGATTCACGTAGTATTATTTTTTATTATTATTACGGTTAAATTTTGTGTTTCTGTTATATTATTAGTGTAATATCTGCTGAAGTTTTAGGAACGTTTTAATAAAAAAAATGTATAAGCATTAATAAAACTTCTAATGACGAAAATTATGTAACAAAAGTTAGAGTTAAGTTTTTAATATTAATTTAACAATTTCACAAAGTGTGCGATATTTATTAGTTATACCTACCCCTTCACGCAGTGTGCAGCTGTGAGGACGTAACGATCGTTTATAAGTGTACCTCCGCAATAAAACTTGTTTAGATACGATAATCTAGCCATCCACGGAAATTCATTCATACTCGTCGTTTGACCTCCAACTATGCGACTTTCTTCATTCCGCAACCCACAACCTAGATTGCAATGATCGAAGTTTAATACATTTTCTCTACGCCTTTTATGACACTACGTCTAATAAAAATAAAACTCAACAAAAAATGCATATTAAAGTACACACTACAGTAGCAGGGCGCAGGTGAATCAGTAGTGGAGTAAGGTGGTTTATTACCAAAAAGTCCAAAGAAATTCTTCATTTTCTCGTTAAATTCTCCGGCCTAAAATCAAAATAATGAGATTATTTAACGAATTATGTGCTTTATTATTAAACAATGTTCAAGAAAATATGATCAATAATTTTATTTGTTTTGTGAAGCATAAATATAAGATATATAAATATCATATTCACAGGTTAATTATTCTTATATACAATAATAATTAAAAATTTAAATGAAAAATTACTACGATGCATTATTACTTTGAGAAAAATTATTTTTATAATTTTGTCACATGTACAATTTTTTTTCTACTTTGGTGAACTGTCAAAACAGTTCAAGTTTTATGTTTGCATTTTGTCGCATATAGACTTCAATTTTAATTGTTTTATTGATAGCTTTTAAATTAACTTATAATTCACTTTACTCTCATTCTAACATTAAAATTAAAAACATGTTACGGGAACTAAAAAATTCCAACATCATACATTTCAGAAATTTTTTTAACGATAGCTTCTAAGAAATATATACATATAACAATATTACATGGCAAGGAAATTAATAGACAATATTCACAAAGAAAAATCTTACCTGACAATTTTTCGTTGTCGAGAGCAGAATGAATAATAAAATTAAGTAACACAAAGTCTTCATGTTTTACGACTTGGGTAACTTGTTGCACCGATAATTATACACTTCTACTTTAATTAAGGTCTTTGTGGATATTTGAATGAGAGAGTTGCCACACGGGCACCGTCAGGAACGAGTCATGGACATGTCCCTGACTGAGAACAGCTATCACCGGCGTCCTACGCCGACTATGGAGGACTGAGAGGTCGAAGAGGTAATTGCTATTCCGGAAGGGAAGGCGGGCACAGCCAGAGCCGGCCGGTACCTGACCAGTTCACGTTCATGTTCAGGGTCGAATCACGGGTGACTGTTATTGACCGTCATCAGGGCCGCGACGAGAAATCATTATACTCCAGAGAGTTGTCTCGATATTGTCACCTACGTTTCTATAAATTTTTGCACCAATAAAAATGCAAAAATAACATTTTTATATTTTTTATTTTACATTTTTATATTTTTTATTTGGTATTAACGCTATAAGTTTATTAATTATTTTAAGTATGCACATACACACGCAATATATCTTTTTTTAGTATAAAAATGGATCTTTTTGTAAAAAAAAAAAGATATACGACAAACCAAATATTAACGTACTTCTTAAAACAATGATTTTTAAATAAAATTTTAATTAAATTTAATTGAAGCATCTTTGTGCAATTTTGCAATACAGCTTATTCATCGTGTGAATGCATAATGAAATAGAAGAGAGTACAGAAAGAGAACGTCGTACTCATTGTAATAAGTGCTCATCTTTATTTATTATATGCACATTTATTTTATAATACGCATTTGGTTGGTGTGTTATTTGGTACCGTTTGGTAGACACAGTTCACGAACGAATTGTTATAAATGAACACCTCGTCTACCAGTTTTGGAAGAAGAAAAGTAGTCCTATTAGTATATTCGTTAAATCCTGTTATTTTCATTTTTGACCAGAATTTGTAATGAAGTTTTTGTTGATCGCTATCGTACTAATATCGTATTATTTCTTAGAACTAGTTTCGATTGAAGGATCAGGTTTAGCAAGTTCGTCATCGTTATTATTGACCACCTATTTACATTTCTACGAAGATTACAGGAATTCAATTTTAGAAAGAGTAACACTTTTTAAACTTTTTTTTTTATTGCTAATATTATTGTAAAATTACATTGCCATACTGAGACAGTTACGCTGAGATAGAAAATAATACACTTATTGTATTTTAATCTTAAATTTACAAATATCAGATAAAGTAACAAAGATATATGTGCGTTTAGTGTTACACATACAGATACAATGTTGGATTATAATACAATTAAATAATGATTATTTTAGAAACAGAGACAAATAAAGCGTAACATAATAAGATTTTTTTATCCATGTTATTTTAATTATTTTTACAAGTATATAAAATTTTTTACATTATAATTACTGTATTATTTATAATAATAGAATGTGCAGTGATTTATTGTTCTAAGTATTTTGTATTTATTAACACATTTTTGATCTTTTGCAGATTTGTACATATTATTTTATAATGCACATACACGCGTATTATGTACATGTAACAGACAGTATCAGTAATTGGTTACCATAAATTACACTATCTTCCATTATGTACAAATTACTAGTTGCGCATACAAAGATGCTATTGCATGTGGAGTGCATTTGCATGCGTCAACTTTAGCCCGGTTCGACAGTGAACCGTTACTGGTTGCTAATTATTCCGGAAACGTTTGACCGCTATTCGTACAGTTGTAGGTGATAGAAACGTGTGGAGCAAACTAATTATAGTTGTGTTCTAAATTTTACTTAAATTAAATTTTCTTACAAAGATATATTTCTTACAATTACATGTATGAGCAATAGCCGATAGCTAATTAACAGCAATAATAATGGCCTCTATCTATCCACAAGGAACTATATTTAATAATTCTATATTTAATATAAAATTTTACTCAGTTCCCAAATAAGACGTTTATGAATGTTAACGTAAAACGTGCTCGTCGTACCGATTAATTACAATTATAACATGTGAAATTTTATGTACACAAGGCGGAGGTGAAAGCAGGTCCTCAATTGGCGCACGAACAGCCTTCTCTCATGTTCGCGTGGATCCATTTGAGATATCGGGTAACTCTCGTGTAAACTCCGGGATAACCTGGTCTACCACATCCCACACCCCAAGACACTATACCTATTAGATACGTTTAACACACACACCACACACACATATAAGTTTCACGTAAAACAAATATTCCGAAATAAGTACAGTAAGGTGGATTCTGCGAATTTTTACATTTGTGTAAATATAAAGTGATATACGGAGATATACGGAGATATACGGAGATATACTTTATACAATATGCTTATTCAAATAATAAGAAACATTAATCAGTAATGGTAAATTAAATATTATTTAAAAAATTATATTATTATTATAACGAAATATAAATGTTTTTCTCACCTGCTATTTCAAGCCTATCGGCTTCTTGAACGAGAAGAGGACCGCCACTGTCTCCTTGACAAGAGTCATTGCCACCTCGACCGGCGCAAATCATATTATCGCTAATTCGATTCGCTCGATATTTCATTTTTCGGCATTGCGCCAAGCTATATATTGGGACTTGCGCTTCTTGCAGTTTCCCAGGCAACATGCCTCCTTCCGAAGTACGACCCCATCCCACTACAGTCCCTTCTTTTCCGGCAGGATCGATTCCTGCATTAATATATATAAAATACAATATTTAATATTTTAGAAAAGACGACGATTGATTAATTCAGTGCGCATTACCTGGTTGAGGTAAACAGATTGGTCGAACCTTTTTTGAAAATTTTACGGGCTTGCGTAATTTTAATAAGGCTATGTCATGATTGTAGGAATTCATATCGAAATTCCTATGACGTATCACAACACTCACTGCTCTCATAACGGCAACTCCATCAGTATTTACGTATTGATCATAATCACCAAGTATCACTCGAATTTTCGATCGTTTCAAACTAAAATAAAAATATCGATTAAATCATCATAACACATTCGATAAGATCAAAATATGAATAAGGCGCATATATTTTTTTAATATTGAAGTTTATATCAGAATTTCCGCAAAATATTTAATAACATTCATAATAATTAATGACATATTTATAGTAATTTTGTAATTTCAATAGTTGTATATTATAGTTTTATCCATTGTATTATCTATAAACTTATTGGGTAGAGACATACTTCCGTACACAATGGGCAGCGGTGATTACGTAATCGTTGTTGAGCAGACTAGCACCACAGTGGAAATGACCGTCGTACACCAGCCTTGCGACCCAGGGGTATCTATTCGGTAGCGTAGGACGTCCACCCACTATTCGATTCTCTTGATTAGATAAACCGCATTCTATAATCCAATATCAACATTTAAATATTTTTATTGTTTAAAAATATAAATTTAACCAATGATTACTTCTGTAGTAAAAAAGATAATAGAAAATATGTTACATAAGTTGAAATATAACAATTTAAATGTACATTATATATTTAAAATTATCAATTATTCTTAAAATTAATAAAGTAATCGCGATAAAAAAGGATAAGAACAATTTAATTTGTGAATGGAATTCTTACCGCACGTGCAGAGCCTATCTTCGTCTGAATCACTATTATCGATAACGTCGATACCGAATATTTCATCAAATAAAAACCTTCCGGTACGAATTTGCGAACTATTCGAAAAAAATTCCTGAAAGAAATACGTAATTACCTAGTGCCATTCAAGTGCGCTCACTTTCCACTGCAAATACGACATAAACGATGAGAGAAAGTAACCATGACCAGAATAATGGGTCAAGGCCTTAAGCTGTTAAATTATCTTCGATACTGACTAAATATCTTATGTGCGTAAGTGTTGCGTGCACGTAATGTTTACATGAATCTTTTAATTCTGATGTTTGATTGATTACAGCCGTTACTTAAAACACACATCTTATCTCATTAAATAGATCGTATAACATATAGTGTCGTTGTATGCTAAATAACGTCAGAAAATCTTAAATAAAAGCACGTTAAACTCTGAAATTAAAAGCATTATTGTTTAGGATTTACAATGATTATTAAATTATTATCAACGATATTATTAACATGTAATACTGTTGTTAGTTACACAATAAAAGTTATTTTAAGGATTATATTGTATTATACATTATATTGTATTATACATTTTGTAAATATTTGTTGTCACAAATGAAAATTAGTAATATATAATTGTTAGATATCATGCTATAAATTTAACAATTGAAATTTTAGAGGAAAGAGAAGCCTAATATTCTTGTACTTTGTAAGCTAACTTTGCTTTGATGTCTCGATCTAATTATATGTTATAGTATACTCACAGATGTAGCTGGAGCCATTTTAATCTTTCGATGAAATCTATAGCCTTCAATTGGTATGGATATTATAAGTGTCATGATCAAGATTAGGATCGAGAGCTTGCTACGAGACACGAGTAAAGGCATTTTCCCATTTGTTGTTCACGAAATGCACAAGTATCGTTCTGAATCACGGATGCGTTCTTCCTTTCATCGATGGAGCACCGCACACCACGTGTTTTGCTGGATTCCACGACCGACATGCATTATATTGAGCCCGTACGAACATTCGGCCACGATTTCGTTCTCCGCTGTCGGAGCGGCTTCCCCGCCGTTCTTTTCGCCTTCGTGAATTTTACAGAGAAGCTGCGGATTCTGGTTTCGCCGAAGATCACCGTTGCTCGCGCACGCTTTCACCGCAGCTCCACAAAGAAGTCCAACTGATCGACCGAGAGCTAGCCGGTCTTTATGGTTGCGAAGAAAGTTCTTCTTTCACTCTCGCGCCTGCCACCATCGCCGGTCCCATTCAGTACACGTGGCATAAACGTGGTGAATTCTCTCAATTTGGAATCATTAATGTCCTTCCTTTTCACGTAAGAATGGAAAGCACGTACGTCAATGGAAGCTTTCGCCGTACGCAATGTCACTTCATATTGTTTCTTATGTGATTAACAATTTTCTTAATCTCTCTCGTTTTTCTCGAATAATTTTGGATTACTATTAAGCCCTAATGATATAATATGTATTGTACATGAGTTAACGAGGAAAAAACACGTTTATGCAAGTATACGTATGTATATCTTTAAGATGTACATATTTGCATGAACTAATGCTTTTTATATCATTCTTTCAAAATTTTATGATACAATCTTAATAACTAATTCTACTGGATAATCAATTTTGTAAATAATCAACATGCATTTGATATAAAGTTTTCTAATAATATTTTTTTAGTTTAAACTCTCTATACCCTCTTCTTCTTTAAAATGCAAGGATTACTCAGAGCTAGATATATACCATTATAAAAAGACACATTCAGTTCATTACAGTTCTGTTGAAATAGTCCATAATACATTTATAACAAAACTTTAGTTGTTATCTAATGTAAAATATTGGTGCTTTCTTCGTTTCTTAAGTTAAATAGTTATTATTTTATTTGTTTCTTTCAACGGCAAAAATGTCACGGAAAGAAGGCAGACAA